CTGCCCGTGGGGGACGCTGCCAGCACCGGCAGCGGTGGAGGGAGCATGCGGGGGGGCCTGAGCACCCCGGACCCCGCCAGGGCACGATGCAAGGCCCTGCATGGAGATTTCTGGTTTGTCCCCACTACAAGGGGCTGCTGCAATCCCCCAGCCCAAGTGCAGCCACAGAGGGGGCAGAGGGCTTTTTTTTTTCTAGAGTAGTCCTTGCTCAAAGTGGAGGACAGCTCTTATACCTCAAAAAACCAGCTCCACCGCGGCCTCAGCAGGGTCATCCTGCCGTCATCGCTTCTCCACAACAGATGAGACTGGCGCCTCGTGCCACCTCTTCCCAGCTCTGCATGGGGTCCCCTCTGGAGGGTGACCCTCCCTGTGGGGATGGCAGGAAGAGCCAGCCAGCCAGCTGCTTTCTCCCCTCTGCCTTGGCGGTCATTTTTTGTTTGCCCTTAGACAGTCACAATCTGAGTGCAGCTTCCAGCACAATATGTTTGGACCTCTATTTTTGGGACCCCCCCCCCTCCAAAAGTGGGGTGCTGTGCACAGCAGCCCTCTGGTGTGTGCGGCTGTGGCTTTGCTCTCGCCCAGCTCCCAACTTTACATTGCAAGAAAAGGCTTCAGTCTGTGCCTATGCAGGGTGGCTTGGTGGCACCCCCCTCAGCTGTGGGACCTGCCTGGGGCTGGGGGGCAGCAGGGGCTGACCTGGCATTTGCCCCGCCTTTTCCTTGCACTGATGGCTGGGGGCAGAGGGTGGCTCCCAGCCCTGGGCTCAAATTGCTGGTTCTGGGGCAGTTTCAGCGTAAATCACTCTCCTCATGGTGAGTGCCATCCTTGGGGATGAGGACAGCTGCATCAGCCATAGCGTCCCCTACCATTATGGCAATTTCGCAAGGACAGGGGTGCTCAGTGCCGTGGGGCTGCCTGGCAGCAGCATCGCACCGAGACCTTGGAGGCACCTGGGTGGCACCATCCAGGGGAGCGAGACTCCTTTGGTGGCAAACACATCCCCACCACCAGACCACGCAGTGGCTTCACATGCTTTTCATTTTCCAAAACCACTGTTGGTTCCATAGGATAGGAAACCAAACAACAGCTCCAGAGGTTTTAGCCAAACTGGAGGGCTGTTTATCATTGTGCTCTTTAACCCTTTCCATTACCCTTGCTGGGAGCTGGAGGTGTTTTGGCTCTGCCTCACCCCAGCGGGCAGTGGGAAGGGGAGATCTCAGCCTCTACACCTTTGTCCCAAAAGTGATCTGAAAAGGGACTGTGTTTCGGCAGGCCTGGGCAAAAGCATGGATGAAGAAAGCCGGGAAGATGTTCGACCTGCTACTGCAGACATCCCATTAAGAGGAAGGCTGCTCCATCTCCCTACCAAGTGCATTGCATCTGCCTGGTACTGGACTGCTTCCCTTCCTCCTCTGGCAGTACTCACACACTTGAGAGTCAAAAAGTACAGGTGCTCTTTGCACTTAAGACACCTGGCACGCGCCGGGTTTGATAATCCAAAGTATCTTGTGGCCAGGTCTGCCAAAGCACTGAGATGCTTCATGAGGCACAGCAGCTCTGAAAACTGGTTGATGCTTCACTTCCACCACCATGGAGTCAGGCTGAGTACGTGGGGGGGCTTCCCTGGGGCCACCTGAGTCATTAGGCAACCAAAAATACGTAGAAACTTGGGTCTTCACTCAGTTTTGGGAATATTCAGGCTTCTAAATACCCCAGAGCTGTAACAGACAACCATGATGAGCTGGACTTGGGATGGGGGGAACACGTGCCACAAAGCCACTTTCCCCAAGTCCCCCTTGCAGGGTCCCAGCCTGACTTCAGCACAGCCCAGCTGCTCCAAGAGCAGTCCTGCAGCCAGTCCAAGACCACTGCCTCATTTTTTGGCTGCTGGGGTTGTTGAGCGGCTGCAGCACAAGCAGGTGAGTGTGTCCTGCAGGAGGAACAGGAACCTTGAGCAAATGGAGGAAATTTGTGTAGAGAGAGGAGAGGACGGACAGGCATTTTGAAGAGCAAAGTGCTCCAGGTATCAGCCATTAACCTTAAATCTTTTCTGAAAAATTAAGGCAAGATGCCACCCAGCACAATGTGAACCACTGGAGTTGCAGGAACATAAAAGGTCTGAGAGAAACAGGGGTGTGGCTGGAAAAAGAGCTGCCGCTGATTTAGTTTGGCCATAACCATGCTACCCTGCCTCGCGCTTTGGCTGAATAAGGAAAACCCTGCCCTTATACGCTACCTGAATAGAGCTCCTCTGCAGCCCAAACTTTTGAAGCCAGGGAAGAATGGGTTTGATTTTCACTCCCCTTTACCACACACAGAGGCCCACTCTGATTTAAGCCAGAGAATATATATTTTTGGGATTTACCGTTCTCCTGCCTGGACTATCCCAAAATCGGATGGAGCTCAAGAGATGCCAGACACCTACATACACATATATGTTCCCTTCTCTTGACAATTGAGTAGTAATTACCTATCCAAAGCACTTCTGGTAACTCAGCACCTCCCAGTTTTCCTTGGCTCTAGATTTGCTCGCCTGCCTTTGCTTTGATTTATGTCCTGCCACACTGGGGAAAAAACCAAAATGCTCCCTTTCCTGCTGCGCATGAAACAGATGGCTCTGATGCGGAGTCTGATGGCGATCCCTAACCGCAGGTTTCTAGGTGGCTGGGACCTGCCGGAGCGTTGCATTTCTCCGATTCCCCAGCTGAAATGAGAAGGGCAAGGTGGCTTTTGGTTAGCCCCTCTCTGAGCATGAAGGTCCCCATGCTGAAGGTCTGCAACCAAGGGGGCCTCTCCCAACAGCAGCCAGCAGATCCTGTGCTGGATGTCACCATAATTTTTCTTGGAAAAAGAGAAAAATGAAAAGAAGTAGACTTCAAGAGCCACCTAAAAGCTGGAGGGTCCTTGCCCGTACCGAGCCCACCCCCTGCCTGGGCGCCTGCTGAAGCCTGAGGCTGCGGTTCCAGTTAAATAACGGGGCTATCAATGGTCCTTTGTAAGTTGGCTCTTTGGGCAGATGTGCTTTTGAGATCCCAATGATTCATGCTTCTTATGTAAGGGAGGCGTGGGAGGTAGGTAGAGGTAATCCTTTTTATTAGATTAACTAACAGAACTGGAAGACGGCGGTGAGGTTTTGGCCACATGAACCCTTCCCCTTCAGGGCTGAAAGGGAAGCAGCAAACGCCAGAGCTGAGGAACAACTGCAGGGAGGCTTGTTCGGCACGCATAGCCCATCGGAGAGCAAGGGAGCAGGCACCAGGGGAAAGGAGCGACAGCCGATTCTTGGAAGGATTAATGAGAAGGAGAAAGGCTATAATTATGCCAGGAAACCAGGTTTTTGTCCACAATTTTTTAAATCTGTACAATTATGGATCTTACTTCCCAGTAAAAGCACTTTACTCCCTGGTTGCAAGCCCAGTCTCCTGATCAGACAGACAGTAGCTCCTGTTAGCTCTAAGGAAACTGGTTTGAGATGAAAAAAAGAGGGCAGAGGAATGTATGCTTATGGAAACTGTCCCAGGGCTGCAGGGAAGCAGTCAGAAAAGTTTACGTGGCTTTGGGAAACCCAGTAAGTAGGCTGTGATGCTGAATTTGGAAGGCCTTCACTTAGCAAAACAGTGGCTGGAATAAGCCCATGAAAGGAAGCTGGATGCTCCTGGCAATGATGCAGACCTGTGATTTCGTGCCCAGCTAGGCAAGGAAATGGGCAGCAAGATCAGAGGCTATTTTGATTCAGCTCCTAGGAAATGAGCAAGTATTGCCAAGCTAAGAAACAAGGCAGCGCCGCCACACAATGGCTGGAAAGTGGAAAGGTGGACTAGATAACAGTATTCACACAGTTATTATCAAGATAGGCAATTACCAGCCCTGGCTTTTCAAGGCAGACCTCCACAACGCCAAACGATTCTTCCTCTTTGCCTGCAGCCCCCCCCCTTCTCCGGGAAGGCTCCTACCTCCCCCGCTGGCACTGACAGCAGAAATGCAAAAAGAAGACCCAAAAGCGTCTTTACGCGTGGGGCCGTGCAGCTTGGTGGCTTGACCCACAGCTGGGGCAGCAGGCAGGGTTTCATACCTCTGCTGCCTTCACCAAATTCACTCTGCAGGGGGAGGATTCACATCTCAGCGGCACCGCAGTAACCTCGAAGAGGAACAGGAGAGAAACAGTGGTGGACAGTAAAAAAACACGCTGCGAGGAAGCGGGGCTAACAGAAGAAAATCTCTGATATTAATTAGCCACTGCCCAAACTCGTGCTGGCATTGTTCCTGATTTCCACCAGCATAAATAACATCAGAACAGGTTAAAATGGAAAGAGCTGAATCTATGGATCATTGTTTTTGAGACCAATTGAGAAGAAATGCGATAATAGTTCAGGAAAGGGCGGTTTTCATAAGGACAATGATGAGGAAACCCAAGGAGTCAGCACTTTGCCAAAATGTTATCCCCAGCACCAACTTTAGGAAATTGGCTCTGAGCCTAAGGAGGGAGCCTTCCCATCCCAACCCATGGCAAGCATGGCTCACATCCCTACCCCACGTTCACCGAGGGTCACAGGACAGCAGGATCTGTGCTAAAGGAGATCCTTGGGCCTTAAACTGGACCCAAATGTGGAGAACTTGAGTTCAAGTGCTATCAGCTGC